AAAATAGTCCACACACAGAGGTTATAACTCACCATAAACTGAGAAGATAGCATTTGGAAGGAAAAACATGAGGATGACGAGCAAAATCCAGATCAGCATCTTAACCATCCATCCTCCATGATGCCATGAATCACGCCTATCATTTTGGTCTTTTACACCGATCATTATAAGGGACAATATAGCAAAAAACAAGAAATTTCCTAAGCTCACTCGAAGAACTGCCTGTGTTTGAAACCATTCCTTTGGGTGTGGCTCAGTTTTTATCCCTGTTAGCAGACGAGAAAACATTTATAAAAGAAAAATAAAAAATTAAAATGAAGCACTCCTCATTTTTGTTACCAAGCCGGTGACATTTCCATCGTATGATAAACGACTAAATTAGCCAGTGACCTTGTTAACTTAAGGATCACAATGCCAGAACCAGAAAGCCCCATTTCATTAACTTAATAATCTCAAATAAGGCTTAAAAGCAATCAATAATTTTACACCCCGCTCATATTTTACTTGCAAGTAGCAATTGAAGACATAAGCAATCGACAAATCCCCTGATGCTTTTTGTTAGATTTTACTATTACATTCTGTATGTAGAATATTCATTTTGTTAGTTAATTGCAATTTAACTTCTAGATACTATGGGATTTTACAAAATAAATATAAATTATAAACTAGCTCTAGAGAGTTAAAAGAAAACAATAGTAAAAATAACCTCCTATTTGGATAAATTTTGGAAGCGATAGTATTTAGTCCAAGACTTGAGAACAAAATCTCAATAATATCATCCTATTAGAACCAATTAGGATGCCTTTTTATTTGTTAATTACTTTTACAATAGGCGTGACATTTGCCTAACTTGAAAAACGTCTTTACATTTTTCTCTGAAAGAACTTGAGAGACGACTTAACCAAAAGTTTTAGTCAGCTTACATCTCAAACTAAAGAAATCCCTGATATGATATGTTCATTGATCACCCGCCGCAATGGACAAACAAAAACTAGCTTCAGATGCAACAAAAAAAACAATAATAATAATACTAATTCTGAATTCAAGTACCGTATGCGCCCGAGTCAATTCACCGTTCCTCGGACAATTATAATGAGGTCTCTGTCGACGCAACGAGTAACCACATACTACCAAAATTAATACACCAAAACGATGTAACTCTCAATCGACGAGCAAACTGTAACCGATTAAAGTACGGAACTAACATAACAGACCGAAAACAACCACGAGTCAAGCTCGCGAATCAGCGAAACCTCAATCCATCGCTCCAACAAAAACGACCACTCAGGAATACCGAATGTATGAACACATGATTGAATCAGAAAAAACGACGGAGAAATTCAAGCAAGTGAGAAAACTCACATGGCATCTTCTCCATCAAAGGAGCTCCAACTTCTCTGAGAATCCATGAAACGACCAAGGAGACGCCGAAAAGGCCACAGTAAGCAAGCCTAGCGGAGCGTCTGGAGATGCCGGAGGCGACGGAGGAGCAGAGTCCGCACGTCAAAGATGAACAGCAAGATAGCAAGCAGGACATTGCTTAGCTCTGGACCTCGAGAATTTCTGGATGATTCTTTTTCTTTGTTGTGTTGCAGAGAAGCCTGTTCTCAGTTTTTGCGAGTAGCAACGAAATGAAGATCTGATTTTGATAGAATTTTTTTCTTTCGAAATTTTGCGCGGGTAAATGGGCTGGGCCTTGGGATGTGGGCCGATGCGTGCAAACGGGAATATACGGGCCGAGCTCTTCATTGGCCCAAAAGGATAGTGGGCCTCTATTGTACTATAATTTTGCTATTTCAAAAATAAATTAAGGAATATCTAATAATTAGATGGTAAGATCATTGTAATTGAAATTTTAGTTTTTATTTTTAAATTTTTGGCTAATTTAAAATGTGCATGAAAAAAAAGATAACAAACGTATCAAGTAAATTGTGAGAAAACAAACATAATTTCGAAAAACATAAAACTAAGAATAAAAGCATTATCAAATGAGAACTTTGTGGAACCGGTCATAACATGGTTGAATGATTTCTTCTTTTTTTTTTTTGAAAAATAATAAATATGGTTGATAGGAATTGACTCAAATAATTATATATATACATCTTATCTATGGGTCTTAATTAGGTATTAATTAAAGTTAAAATCTCCGCCCCTCATTTATAATGAAATATTTTTTTTAAAAAAATCTACACAAATTTTTCCTTGCCACCGCTAGAGGGAGAAATAATTTAGGCTAGGGATAATGTGTAATACACAGTAAAATTGTGTCCCACAAGTTAAAATCTTGTTCTTTTTTTCATACCCTAATAATAATCCGTTCCACCTCACTCAACAACATATCTTCAATAGCATCTCCAAGCTAAGCTTTTCAAATAATTTGATCACTACAAAGATTTTTGATTTGATTTGATAACAACTTTGTTTATTGTTGACGGTAAATTTTGGAGACGTCTACATATGTGTCCTCAAGAAGCTTGTGTTGTTGAAGGGAAAATGAACCTGCAACCAGAAAACTCGACGCCGGTATGGTGTCCCACCTAATATCATTCTACGATCAAGTCAGTAATCGAAGCAATAAGAAAATAGGGGTAGGACACCTTAAAGTTTTAGTGGCAGGTTTTTCACTTACTTGGCAGTGAATGAGTCCTTCCCTTTTAAAGGCGCGAACCACCGACCAGGAAGGACGGTGGTTAAAAGTGCAGGGGTACGTCTCGGGCTGTACAATACTCTGGAAGAAGGGGGCGGACGTTTCCGACAATCAATGAGTGGCGCCTCCACCTGTTGGTTTGTCCCCCTACAGTCGGTTTGTCCTCCACCTAACATTTCCTACAATCGCAGGTTGCAGGCTGCAGTTCTCGACGTCCTACCCGTACAGCCCTAGGAATGACACACTCGTAATACGCACGTGCAACATAGGTTGCTAACCGTCTGTGGTCCTGCACTTTGATGTCATCCCTAGCGCTCGACACGTATCCTACTCGGATCTCTCCCTCAATATTTATATTATTTCGTGCTAATTAAAAAAACATATTTAAAATCTTAATCGAAGATGCAGGATCAAGAACACCGACGTGACGTGGAGGGCATGGGAGTGTTAACACGAGCACGAGAGAGAAATTGAAATATGTGTATGATATATATTTTATGGAATGGTTGAGAATTGTGAGATTGTGGTGTTTCAGTTAGTCACATCCCTGAGCTGTGTGTTTTTCACAACTTTGGCTTTCGATTATAAATATATATATAATATGTCCTTAGTTGGTCAAGTCTTTATGAAACATACCCTCCAACTACTTTCTTTTCATTATTAGACCAAACCAGATGAGACTTTGAACTTTTTGAAGAGAGAGAACTATTTTTTTCTTCCATCATTTGGTTGAAATCTTTGGTAACAGTTTCCCTTCTATACTACATGGTGTGCCAAATCAAATATGACAATTTTATTGTGTCTAGTGAATCAAGTTAGGGGTGAACAGTATTAGTTGGGTCAACTTAGAGGGATTTTTTGGACCAACTCGAAAATACTTGAAGAAGTTTCCAGTCAAAATCAAACTCAACTACCCTTATATTTTCAGGTCGTATATTGAATTGGATCGTCTAGTTGTTAAAAATATGAATTTTCTATCTACTAACTAGCTGATATGGAGAGGGAAACAAGAGAAGTGAGTGAAAAGGAGACAAGCGGAGTGAGCGAAAGGGAGAAACGAGCTGAGACAAGGAGGCGGTTCGAGTTGAACCATTCAAAAAATCCTCCAAACTCTACGAACCGGACCAAATTTTCGATTCAATTTATTTAAATAAAAAGAAAATCAACTCAACCTAAATTGAAAATTTTCTAAACCCAATTTAATTCTTACGGTTTGGGTTGTTGGGTGACTGAATTTTTCGAGATCCAGATCCAAACTACGAATATGATATATTAGAGATACAACATGTTTGGTAAATTTGGATTTTTATTCTTGTATCTCTCCCAAAAGTAATAACTTCTAAAATATCTTTGTATCTAATTAACATTTTTATTAACCCATATCTAATCTTCATCTAGAAATAATATGAAAACTTTTCTAACTTGAAGGAAAAAAGTGGGTCCAAAATGTTTTAGGGAGGAGAATATTTAATAAAGTAGATAGATCCATGATATATGTAAGGTCTTATCCAAAGTTATTATCACCCCACATTGTGTATATTTTGGTATTTTGGAACTCTTTAATTTATTTATGTCAATTTTTCTATTTTACTTACTAAAATTTAAAAATACCAATTTTAAGTCTATTGATTTTAATTTGTCCCGAAAAATGTCATTTCCAAATTTCCAAGTGATCGTAAAAAGTATATGATGTAAGAATATACCTATGCTATACCAAGAAATAACACAGGCGGTTTAATAAGAAATTAAATCAAAATTAAAGGGCTAAAAGTTGATTAAAAGTTTAGCTGGATCAAAACAATGAAAATACGAAATAAACTATAATAATGAAACATGTACGATAAATTTATTTATTGATTTCAAGTCAAATGCGCATAGATTACAACTATATAAGAAATTTCATCTCTCAATTAATATTTTTACATTTTACAAAATTACACGTAGGAAACATAGATTACATAAACTCAAATTTCGGTGACTTGTTGGCTTAATCATTGTTTGGATCACACCGTCACTTTTGTCTGCAAATAATAGAAGATCAGAGAACCCCCTACTACCATCGCCAAACTCAAATAGTCCACAACGGGTCACCCAATATTTTTGGTTTGTACATCAAAATCAATAATAATCTTATCTTTAAAAAAAAACAAACAAAATAAAAAACTCACTCGAAACAGCAGTCCAAGATAAACCATCAAAAAGAAGAAAAATCCTGATAACTACATGATATAAATCCGATATAATTTTAAAGAGTAAAATTGTCAGCTACATTACGGTAATGTCTGTCTTGTAAGTTTTTTGAAAAAGAAAAGATATTTGTGAAGGGAAATTATTAAAATGCATGCATATATTATATAGGATGGGAAAAGGGGCAGCAGGAGAGAGCGCGCGTGGGCCCATGGCTGGGTCTTGTCAGCGGGAACCATCGACCGGCAGCGACGGTGGGCACGGCCCTGGTGGGTCACCCTGCATGTGCACCCAAGCTCAATTTTTTTTTTTTTTTTTTACCTTTTTAGTGATCGAGAGTAATTAGATATTAATGGTGGTTAATTATCACAAGGATGGAAGGGTTTAAATTCATGACGGATGAATTAAGCAAAAATGAAAAAAAAAGGTTAATATTTTAAAAATTTTTTAATAATAAGTAATTGAATGAATTAGAGTGCTCTCGCACCTAATCTAGATTGAGGTCTTTGAGATCCTTAGTCAAACCTCAACGCTCTTAAGGTCGTGCAGAGCCTCCAGCAAATTATCAGGTCTGTTCGGTTTGGTTCAACCTCAATTGAGTGAATAGGGAAGAGAGGCATTTTTCAAATTTGTGGTTTGGATAGGCCCCTAATTCAAAGTACAACAAATTGACGATACTAGATTTAAACCTCCGACCTTAGTGAAATGAGTAAGTCACAATTACCGTTAAATTATACTCAACTCCCCTAACTCTTTTAGCCTTGTTACTCTTAACAACAATAACTGATTGTTCAAGTAAGTTTTGCTGTTAAATTGGCAAAAAACCTATAAAAACTAAATTAAACCCAACTTATAATTTCACCGTTTTGGATGAAAAAAAAATTGAAGGGTCCACCATTTTTGGGGATAAGGAAATGGTGGGGCTGAGGAAAAGTTGGAGATAAACAGATAAGATTTATGGAGTTTTATGTGTGTACTTTGTTAATGGCAGGCAACATTTATCTGAAAATGAGGTCTAAATTTTGTGAATTTAATTAATTCTAGAGAAATAATATGGCCACGTGAACCTTAGCAAAAAGTTAGACCCTACAGCTAAGAACAAGCAGGAGTTCTAAAAAAAAAAAAGTTAAACAGAAAATGGAGAAATTTATATATAAATTATGGAAGTGATTTCAAAAACAACAAAAAAAAAAAGAAAAGGGTTTGTGAAATGGGAAAGAGATTTACAAAGTGGAAGCAAATGGCGAGACAACAGAGAGGGAAGCTTTACATCATGAGGATTTGCATTTCCATGCTTCTTTGTCGCCATAATAATAAGTACTCTCTTCATACCCAAACCACTACTACTTGTAATTTTACTTTCATGTGAACAACAAAAACCAAACCCTAATTTTCTCCTCCATTTCCTTCTCCTTTTCCTTTCCCCCAAACCCTAGGAAGATACAATTTAGTCACGAGGGAACCGACATTGTCGTTTTGGGATTGTGTGATGGTCGCGTATGGCTTAATGTGTCTGTACTTGTATGGTATTGTTTGTAACCCTGCAATACAGGCTGGTTTTACAAGGAGCAATTATGGTTTTTTTTTTTGGTTTATATTTGATCTCAATTGTTATAATCACTGTTTATATTAATTAAAGACAATTTTATATGATCTCTACGTTGGTATGATATTAATTTATAACCTCACGATGACCAAATACGATTTTATATGGATGTTTCTATGACTAGAACATTTGTATTGAGATATGATCGAACTCGTTTGCAATGATGAATATGATCATGGTATTGTTTATGTGTTTGAGGGGAGAGAGAGAGAGAGAATGGAGGAGTGAGAATTATGAGAGGAAATTGTATGCGAGGGTTTAGGTAGCTTGGGGAGACAAGTTTCATGTGGGTTTGTCAAAACTTTGGTTGAGTAAGACAAAGCCTGATGGGAATTGTTAGGAAAAGCAATAAGTTTTATTTTTAATAAAATCACACCGACATGGCTAAATATTGTTGATAAAATCCAACTCACATGTGTATTCTAAATTTAATTTAGTTATACGACATGATGTAGTTTTTATTGTTGTCAGTCTTTGGGAGATGGTACAGTGGCATGGATTTTTGACTTCATGGTAGCTTTCGTATTTGATTGCATAAGTCATTCTTTTGACTTTACACTAATGTACTAAGTAAGGTAGGTTGGAAACGATATGGATGAATTTGAGCTAATTCTATAGATCGTCTTACTTGTGAGAAACTACTGATGTTGGAGCATAGACTTATGTAACCATTCATTCAAAAGTTGTGGTCTAGGGGTGTACTATGACTTGAAGAAAGCAAGAAAACGTTAACAATCAATTTTAGAGTGTCACAGGAGAATGTTGAAAATAATCTTATTAGAAGCGGCTTGAGAATATAATCATCCAATGAGCAATCTCAAGAAAGTCAACTACCTTTCTCCATGATCTCTAGCTTAAACTAAGGAATAAGAATAGGAAAAACAAACCTTCAACCTCATGGTATTACCTACCATAAATGTCTTGGGTTCAAATCTTATGATTTTAAAAAAAAAAAATTGATATCATTGTTTAACACTATAATTAAATATAAGATAAACGTATTGATGAAATATATAAAATATTAACTATATGAATAGGGATGCTGATAGCAAGATTTATAATTTATTCGAGATATGTAAAGTATTTATGTTTTAATTAAAAATGTTTTTGTAAATTTTCTTGGAATATTCATGGATATCAACGGATGACATTTCCATTAAATTGAAATTTCTATCAGTGTTGAACATTTTAATCCTTTGACCTTAATTTAATGATGATGGGTAATCTTGCCTATTTCGCAACCTTTTTGTTTATTATTCTTTCTTTTGTTCATTTGAAAAAAAAACACAGAAAGATGTTTTAGTAACAATTTCCTGATTTTTATTCTCTAAAATTTTTAATTAAAAAAAATAGAAGTTTCATGTAAAAATTAATTATGTTATATTTATTTTTATTTTTTGGTATTTTTATAAGTAAAAAATGATAGATAATACTTTTATTTTTGGACCAAAAAAACTGAAAATAGAACGAGTAAAAAAAACAAAAACAAAAACGTTACCAAATCAACCTTTAGTACAAGGGTACAACTTTTCTTTCTTAAATCTATTTAGTAATCCATTCTAAATTCTAATATTTAGATCTAATATATGATAATTTCGTTTATAGTTTATTGGTTTAATAATAAGCAAATTGAGAATTTGTGATGGACGAACTTAATTGCTCTTAGGACCATGAATCACAAATTAAATAAATGGGCATATTTAATTGCTAATGGCCTGCTTTCATCCGAGATTATGTCCAATCATAAGGGCATATATGCTTCAAATTCTCTCTTTCCTCCCAACCACGTGTCTTATAACTAATTAATTTATAAAGAGTATGAACTACAAAGACAACTTTGAATAAATTAAAATATAAAGTTGGTCATTAAATTTTGGTTGTTGGTGATAAGATGAGAATTTTGATTTTATTTCTCAGCTATCAACACTCTTAACGAAGACATTAGACACAATTACATACCCATTTTGTTTTCGGTTTTTTATTTTTAAAAATTAAGTTTGCAAATTATTTTAGTGTATAATTTCTATAAATATTTGAAAACAAAAAAGTTTTTTGATTTTGAAATTTCGCTAAGGATTCAAATAGGCCTACAAGAGAAATGAGAAACTTGCCAATAAAATTGTTAAAAAAGTAAACATGATTTTTAAAAACAGAAAACTAACGACACCTGAACCTGATGAGAGCGGGATTTCGAGGAAATGTTTAAAATAAGGGCAATAGTGGGAGGGGGCAAAATTTGGAGATCCCAACTTGGAAATACTATGACAGTTTCAATAAATGGTCTAAGAATTTCAAATTTTAGGTACAGGGAAGGGCTTCAAGTTTTAAGTTGTTCACCTGAGCTTTTTTTGCCATGGAAGGAACTATTATGGCGTGGCAGATGAAGCTTGGGATCTCAACTTTTGACTGTTCAATTCTTTCATGGCTGTTATAAGAGAAGAGGCTCCTAAAAGTTTTGATGGAATTTGATTAATCTTCAGCAGATTTCTTTGGCGTTGGGGCCTGTTTAGTTTGACCTCCCTGGCCCTGAAAAATCACAAAAGAAACACAAAATTAACACCATATATATCGATCAACCTTTGATTGTACTAAGCTGTCAAACAAATGGAGCATTTGGAATATCCACTGTAGTAGGGTTATAGATGGGGTCTCGACTCTCCCCCAGTAAATAAAGTTGTAGATTTGTATGGAAGGATACAAGCCATCGACTTTTGGAACTATTACTAAAGCGGTGACGCCTATATATCATCTTTCTAGAGTAAAGAGCAGTAGAGTTCTATTTTTCAAAAACAAAAAAGGAATGATGGGTCAACTATTAGAATATTAGTAAAGGTGGCTTAGTCTTATCCCTCGATATAGAAAAATCAAGGGGGAATTTTGATCTCCAAGATTGAGTTGGATTTTTTATTTTTTATTTATTTTTTGGAAGCATATTCCAGTATTACTTCCCATAGAATCAATCAGCCTCGATTCCTCGACTAAAAGAACAAGTCTTGGAGCAAAATAGATGATATTCCATCAAAACCGACCCGGAATAAACCTAAACTTCAAGCTAAAAAAGGATTTGATAAAAGGGTACTATGACTTTTATCTCCAAAGACAGAAGAGAGCAATTGAAAAGAAAAACATGATATTTGTGGAATGTATATCATGAGACAAACACTGCTACCTTCTGCGCAGTTAATCTCCTAATTGATGGAGCTCTTGCCATAGAGGAAGCAGCCGCAGCTGCAGCAACACGAATTCTGCAAAAAGTATAATTCAAACAAATCAAAATTCAACATATGGCGTAGTGAAGCTCAAACGAAAGAATTTTAAGGCATCAACTGGACAATACCTTTTGTGCACATCAACGTATTCATCTGTTTCATCAACAATCTCCTCCTGCATCAATCGAGGCATGTTACAACACAGAAGAATTATTGGTAACATTATGATACAAGGAGAAGAGGGAAGAAGTTATACCTGCAAAAGTTCTTCAAATACATCTTCAAGGGTGATGATACCAATAACTTCACCATCTTCTATGTCCTCTGAAGAATGGTTCAACCCGTTTATCGAAGAAGCATCATTGCGTCGGTAAGAAGATTGCCTGCTTATACCAGAATTCTTGGACGTCCTATCGATATCAACGACTACATTATCTGAATTCTCGTCATGCTTATGTAGTAAAGGAGTTGTCAGTTGGGATTCCGTGCCTGAGACTTTGTTTTCCTCGAATTCTTCTCCATCTAATGTAGGCAGAAGAGTCTTGTTTTTCCCTTTTACTTTCACCACGGCAGCCATGTGACTACTACCTTTCTGAAATTCATTCAATATGTCATAAAGAGGCATGTCTGAAGGAACCCTGCCATTCATAAGCATATAAATAACAGTTAATAAATGCTTCTGGGATAGAGGCTTCACATGGGAAAACAGCAAACACACCTAGGAATTCTTCGAATGGAAACGGCACTGACTGGGGTCTCTGTTTCAGGTCGTACAGTTAAAAGACTTTTCACCTGATCCCACACGGGTAAGTCACAGACAAATTAAAAGAATGAAGAAGAAAGCAATAGGCAATAAATAAAATCATGCAATATCTAATATAGGAAAGCTCTTACTGAAGATTATTGCAATGCTCACCAGTAGAAGCCCTATAATATTCTTTGGATTCCCAGAATAGACAGGAACTCGACTATGACCACGAGCAAGAACTTTTCCCATTGCTTCCCTGAGTTAATTGTCAAAGGAAGGTGAAGAAAACAAATTAAAAAAAAAAAAACCTTTACAATTACTTCCTAAAGTATCTTTAAAGAG